ACACACACACACACACACACACACACACACACACACACACACACACAAGCAGTAGAAGTTTCCTCTCTGCTCCTCCAGATGTCAAAGCTACTTATAAATACCAAGATCAAGGCATAAATTCATCTTTTCCTCCTTCATCACATCTACTCACATCACATCTACCATCCACTAGACCTCTTAGCCCATACAAGCTCATTTTTGAAGTATTTCTCACCTGATTATTATGATTCAGAATATGCTCAGGATATGAAGTTTTGTCAGAAACTTGCTTAAGCCTCTTTTGGAACTCATTCCACTAAGAAATATCAAGTGGTTTAAGTGTTTAGAGGTTCCAAACCACTTACTTTACAAATTCCATAATTAAAAAAAGGAAAAGTAGCCATAGCTTAGCTTTCCTGTAGTCTTATACTGTTCTTATAAAGACTGCTTATGTAGCTAATGAGCAGCAACAAGACAGATTGTTTGTGTTCAAAATGAAAATGTTACAAATTTAGTTAGATTTTATGACATCTTGGCCTCACTGTGTCTCATTTTTACTGAAAAAATTTTGAGATTAAGCCCCAAGGGCAAACATCTTAAGTAAATGTGACTTGGCTTCTGAAAACAGATAGACAGGGTCTTTCATTGCTTTCTAATAAAGAAAAAAGGAGGATATATGTTTGGAGAGCGGGGATGGTAGCATGTAAGGGTAGGTAGGGAATGGACCTTTGATTTGACTAGTATAAGAAACTTCAAGATGAAGAAGCTCCTTATTTATATCAATGCATGTTGGCTCCTTTTCTCCAACTATAGTCTTTTTACTTTTCTGTGCCACCTAGCTGCCCCTCTCCAACTATGGTCTTAAAGAGTTGTCTAAAGCAGTCCTTCTTAAACTGTGAGTCCTGACTTCATATGGGTCGTGAAAAATTTGGCAACAATAAAAGTTTTCTGAATGTGCAACAACCAAAAATTAATTCAAAATCACATGCGTAATGAATCCAAGGTATTTCTGGCAGTGCTTACCCATGTTGCATCTAGCAATTTCAATGCAGCCTTGGTTCTGAACACAAAGCATGCGCACAGGGATCATGAGTGGAAAAAGTTTAAGAAGCCCTGGTCTAAGGCACTGAGGTGTCTTCAGAGGCAGGGCTGAATCAGATCTTCATAGCTAGAAGGCTGACTCTCTCAACACTATACCACAAGGCCTTTCTTATGACATCTTATAGAAATTGATAGTTTAGCTCTGTAAGGATGAGGAGGAATGACTAGTGGATAATAGCAAACTCCTAGCACAAACTCTGAGAGCACTCTTCAGTTTCAGAGGAAGTGGGGGTGGAGGGACCTATTTCTGTTGATTTTTTTTAAATAAAAGTTTAAAAAGAAAAAAAGTCATTATCTTTACCTTTGATATCCTAGTCCCATGCTCATTGCATCTTAAGGAACTGTAATTTATTGAAGAGGCATTTGGGACCTATTTTAGCTACTGTTCTAGTGGTGTTCTAAATTCTTATGACTCTATTTTTGTAAGGAGCTCTTAATTATCCTAGAATACATAATCTAATTTGCAGATCAGCCCATTCTGAAGTAGGCTGACTGTAAAAGGCAGTTTGGGCATATTGGACATTGCCATTATTCAAAACAAAAGTGTGATCTAAGGCAGGAACTGACGTAAGGGGAACGAAGTAGAAGCGAAGTATTTGACTTTAGATGCTGGTATCACAATACACACAGCCCTTTAAAGTGCTCTGTCACCCCCGGCATGTACTGGGGGCACTAGCTGTCAAGATGTATTTCTGCTAACAACTGATCTGATAGAAACAAAATACCCCAAACAATATAAACCAAGCCATTAATGGACTGGAACATAACTAACTGAACAAGCAGAACATTTTATTTCCCTCTCTGGAGCTGCAGATATGTGGACAATCTAATATAAGGGCCTCAGAGCTCTATATGTATTCTAAGAGTAATTGCTAAAGAACATGGCTGTCTCTGGCCAGCTCCTCTGAACTCATATCAACAATGTACCCTCTGAAGGCACAAATGAGGTTGGTTTTGTTACTTTGATTTTTTGCATTTGCTACTTGTCACAAATGGGCATCATTCCTCCCATTCAAGTTTATTTACCATTTTAGGCACTGATCCCCAAGACAAAAAATGGTGGTGCTTCTAGATTTTCTTGGTGGATTGAGAAATTCTGATTTTTTCAGCTCTATGTATGTAGACATCTGAAAGGGAATATTCATTCACTAAATTAGACTTGAAATATAAAGGAATTATGCCATCATTTTTCTGTTTCCTTCAATTCAGCAAGTATTTCCTGAGTGCATACTGCTTGCTCACAATCTGCTCAGGCCCCTGTCCTGAAATACCTTATACAAACCTGTTCAATAGCAGCAACTCAACTGAAACTTCTCTTTCAAAGGTCATGGTAATCTTTTCTCAGAGTTTGGCCGCTTTGACTGACCTGCAACTTCTGACATGGTCGACCACCTCTCAGTTGATACTTTCTTCTCCTTTGGCTTCTAAGACACTGGTTACTTCTTACTTCTCTAAGGTATCCCTTCACTGTCCTTTTCTCAGGTTCTTCTTTCTATCCCTAACACCTTAGCATGGGCATGCCCCAAGGCTCACATTTCTTCTGTCTAACTACATTTCATAAGATCATAGGATCACACATTTAGGTTAGAAAGCAAGTGCACTTAGAGACCATTTAATCCAACTTCCTTGTTCTACAGATAAAGAAAATAGGCCTGGATAATTTTAAGTAATTTGCTCAAGATCACACAAGATCAGAAGTAGGGATTCAAACCCAAATTCTGTGCTTCTAAACCCAAGGCAGCCTTGGGAGCAGT